AAGCCAGTTGACAGAACGGCTCCAAACCTGCGGAAAGGGAGCGCGAGCGGTTCAAGCCAAGCGAGGTCTTGTATGTGCATAATTGGTGGCCTTACACTGGCTCTTTGTGTGGAGATTAAGGGGACATGAGGAGGGATTGGGCGGGCTGTGTCTGGACAAAGGATGGGAGTGGGCTGTGCGGTGGAGGATGGGGCAGTTACTGTTAGAGTGGCTGGGGGGTAGGGGACTCCCCTGACATGCTTTTAAGAGCTGCTGTTGAAACAGATACGCCAGGACAGAACACAGAGAGGTAACAGAGGGCGACTTACAGAATCCCCAGCTGTGATGGGATTTCGGCCGAGAGACTAGCTGTGACAGACCTTAAAACCCTAGTCTAGACTTGGCTTAACCCAACAGAAAGAGGGGAATTCAGTAAAGGACAACATCAAAACCTCACTGCCAGTGTGAAGTTCCTATCATTCCATTCTTGTTTAGACAGGAAATGAAAACCATTGCGGCAAGACGTGAATGAAATCGTTGCCATTAACAGTGTGCTTGGTTGATCAGAGCCTGGCTCATGGAAAGTCTTTAGTCAACGGTGAAGCCACAAACAACTTCACATTACTGGTACTGTGACTAAATCCTTCACTATGGAACAAAAATTTCACAACCTCTCCTTCAAGAGTACCGACTTTCCACGTTGGGGTCAAAGCAAGGATTAAGAGCTCACAAGGTTTGTGGTTTAAACACTCAGACGCAAATATTGCCCCCCACGACACAAGCAGTCCTCTCATATCTATTACAAATGGACGGCCAGAGCGGTGCTTGTCTCTCGTTGGAGGCATTATCTCTTGCTTCACCTCCTCTGGATAATGAAAGCCCATCATCCTCCTCTTCTAGCAGGATGCCAGGGGCTACTGAGAGCGGGCAGACTGAGAGAGTGCAGTTACCCAAGATGCATAGAGCTGAAATGAGATCCATTGAGCACCCAGACAGGGAGCTGATTAAGACATGCCGACGCCACCAGACAGAGCGCGCACACACACTCACACAGACATGCACAGCGAACTACACTCACAAAATCAATGCAGTGAAAGGAAGGGGAGCTTCTTTAGAACCCTCATGGTCAAATTACTCATCTGGTCACCAGGCAGCAGCCTAAAACCATTTCATGCGACAAAATAATACAGTTCTTCTGACAAATAAACTAAGGAAAATAGAAAAATGCACGTTTTAAATAGGTACACTAGGATTTTTCTATGTTTTTGAAAGAAGTCTTATGCTCACCAAGGCTGCATTTATTTAATCAGAAATATAGTAAAACAGTAATATTACCAGAACAATTTAAAATATCTGTTTTTCAATATATTTTAAAACGTAATTTATTACTGTGATGACAAAGCTGAATTTTTAGCAGCCAACTCCAATCTTCAGTGTCACATGATCCTTCCGAAATCATTATAATATGCTGATTTGCTGCCTTCTGTGCTGCCTAATATTTTTGAGGAAACAGTGACACTTTTTTTTCTGGATTCTTTGATGAATAGAAAGTTCTAAAGAAAAGTATTTATTAAAAAAAAAAAAGAACATACTGACACTTTTGATCAATTTAATGCAGGACTAATAAAATAAATAAAAGTAATAATAATAGTAAAAATAAATAAAAGTAATAATTTCTTCTTTTTTTACTTAAACTTTTGGATGGGTTAGCATAGTTTGGAATTGGATAGTCTATACACGGTTTATATGCCATACAATCACAGTTAATTGTTGGTCTATTCTGTACACAAAACTATCGTAAAATATATAGTGCACAAGTCACCATAGTAAAATATGCTTTTTTTTGAGAACTTGACAGACATGGTCAGAAACTTGTAAAACAAATGTCTACTATTCTGTCTGATGGAAAAATTAATGCTATACAGGTTTGGAATGACATGAGGGTGAGGAAACAATGACACAATTATCCCTTTAAGCTTATAATACAAATGACCCTTATTTTTAAGAAAATGATGAAAGATAAAAAAATGCTAGTACTAAGGGGGAAAAAGTCAATTAAATGTACTATTTCTAAACAAGCACTGTAATGTAGGTCACACAAAGGTCTATCTCTCGATGTAATCAGCACTGCCCGCCGGCCATTCGGGTCATTAGCAAGGTCATTAATGAAGCGGAGACCAGCTTCAGTCGGCTGTGACCGTGGACTCAACCCCACTAGCCGGCTTCCCCAGACACACACTCGCACGCACACACACACACACTCCCCATGAACCCACATATCTTTCTTTGCTACACTTTCCGTACTCTGATCTTATATACAAGCACACACATGCAAAATATAGCTTGATGTGCTCCCTTTCATTTCCATAACAGCCCTCTCACAGCACCTGGAGGCCTCCTGTGATACGGGCTTCAAACGTCTGCTCCTTCCTGCTCCAACACAAGTTCAGGGCCTTTGTGGTTCAGAACATCCATTATATTTTTTATACATTAACAAACACTTAAAATTGCAAAAGTACTTTTGTTATAGAGAATTAACTCACTTTTTCCACTTTGGCACTGCAGTTACGAGGAGTGGGAACACATTAATGATCATTTCTTGTAAGCAAGTGAGTCACTCATAAAAATGTAAGTTTGAATGGCTCAATTCACCATTCCTGGAGCGTTTTTCACCATACGTAAATGTGGAGGAGCTATGACTTGGAGCATGTTTAATACTTAAGTTTGGTCTGTGTGAAGGGAAAAGAAAAATGTGGGAGAGAATGAAAGATGATGAAAGCGACGCACCCTGCCTCACGGCTGTCTGCCTAGCTCACAGTGCCCATATCACATTGCTGTTGTTTTCTCACACAGACCTGCGAGAAGCGTCACACGGACATCTAGAACCTCGAAGACTTGAGACAAGCCAGTTTATCAAAAACAAACAAAAAACAGCATGCTTACTGAGAAACTAGGCAGTCATCCTACAAGTCCGGAGCCTTAGAGCCCCCAGTTTCAACAGCACTACGGTGGAATAATTACCATAACACGGCTGGAGTCGCCAAACTGTTTAATTTCCACTAGTCTGTGTCCAACTACCGGCAGCTGTGCAAACCCATCACTGGCAGCCCGAAGGCACCTCTCGCGCTACAATCCGCTCAGTGTAGAGTCTGACATTGAGGCGACCCTGTCAGACGTACTACAGGTGGGATCTGTCTGTTTAGCATTTCCTATCAAGTCCTATTGGAGCATTTGGCAGCATTTTGTGCAACACAACCGTTTGCGAACAGTGGGAGCGATGCTTCTTGGAAAAAGATGAGTCACCAATTAGAGATCACAGATTGCTTAACTTTTTTTTTAATTTGTAGATGAAAATGCCCCCTGCTGTGATACATTTCATTACACAGTCTTCCTTGATATGTCTGGAGCACAGCAAGTCACAAGACGATATTCTTTCAAATTTTAAACACTCTTTAAAATGCATTAGTATTCTAGTTATGATCACCATACAAAAAAGGTGTCCAAGTATTCATACCATTTTGTTGGCTTCCTTCTCAGCATATTATGAAGAGCATCACACTGATTCACACAGTTTTGTCCTTCCAGAAAATCTCACCAGTGCATAAACAGTTCTCGTGCTGTGCCATGCAACCACAGACATGTTTATTTGTGCTGTGGATGTAACCACCATCAGTTTGGCCATACAAAAGAAAGGCAGACTCCCTTGACAGGCCACTGAATAGGGCTCATTGCCCACATTTCCATTACAAAGGACCAGACTCCAAATCTGACTTCAGTCTGAACTTGCTGAACGACTAGCTTCCCATCGTACTCCACGACAGAATTGTACTTGCCAGGGGTTATAAAGCACAAATTTAGTTTTCTAAAACCATTACAATTTGTGAATACATTAAGAAATAGTCCAAATTGTCAATATTTTAGGCCTTTTGGCTCGGTAGTCATGGGGCCAATGAGGACTGTTTCACCAGTTGAAATACACAACGCTGATTAATCAGACTGTTTTGTAAACAGGGTATAGGCCTACCACAGCAAACGATGTACTAACAACATTCATGATATAATCTAACACAACTACAAACAAGGCCCGTCATTTTAAAACGAATCACTGGAATTCATGTAGAGCTGCATGTCACAACTAGCAATGGGAAGTCAGATTCATTCCTGTGAATCGGTACTTTTGAACATTCCTCTGAACTGAAAAGTTTTCTTTGTAATTGAAACTGTAAAATTAAAGTCATAGAAACGTCAATCATCTAGACTACACCACATGACAGTAATAAAAAAAATCAGTTCACACTTACAAATCAGATAAATGTTATGGGGGGATAGAAGATCCGAATCAAGAGCACGATTCATTTACGAATAATGAGAACGCTCGTCACAACGTGCGACCAACCAGGGAAGGATGGAATTGCAAGTAGGCCTATAATAAATGTAAGTTTTGCTACATCTGACGTCAGTTCTTCGAAGTCCTGTGGTTTGGCCATAAGCTACATGCCACACAATTTACCTCACCTAAATTCGAGTAATGATACTTTAGTATTTTTAACACGTAAGGTAAATATGCATTTAATTAAATTAATTTGTAATGGACAGGAGGCCTGTATCTAAACAGAGGTTGGTTGTGTCAGTGTGTGTAGCATATATATATATATATCCTAGGCTATATTACACACACAGAGAGAGAGAGAGAGAGAGAGAGAGACGCCTATTTAGACATTTATACGAGTGTATTTTGTTAAATTAACAAGGGACAGCAAAACATACTTGCGTGGTTATATCTTATACGAATATCTTAAATGATAAATACAATTACAAGTCACACGCATTAGAAAATGTAAAACTAGTTCTATATAAGGAATGATTTAGGCTTCAGATGACTGGTTTACAGCGCCATGATGAGCGCCAGGCTGCCCCGTCCAGCACAGCACAGCCTGGCCACACTCTCTCCACACACCAGCAGCCTATCAAATAAATAAATACACACAGAGAGGTGACACACACACAAACACCCGACTCACCATCGCCGACCGCTATTAATCCACACAGGGCGAGCAGCGCTACAGCAGTTCGTCGTGGAAGCATGATTGCAAGATTCCCATCTCTTAGCATTAATGCATTCGTTTTGCGTGATATTGACAAGCGAGCGAGACTTCCAACACAACCACAAACCAACCAACCAACCATACACCGCCTGCCAGGCTCGGCTAGACAATAGTGGGTTAAAGGGGTGTGCCTAGTTTTAAAGGGGAGGGCTACACGCCTGGGCTCCTTTGTTGTGGTGAAATGTCTCTTTACAAGGACTCATTTGTGAATTGGCCTGATGGTCCTGTGTCTGTAGTTAAGGTCTCATCAGGATTGTTTTTGATTGATTCCATGTCGTATTTTATGTTCAAGACATTTAACTTGTGGCTTTAACCTGGATGACATTTAGGCAAATATTGATTTTTTAAAGGTACTGTGATAAAACGGATTACAAAACAAGAAAAACGGTTTATGTAAGGAATTAATCTGTTCAAAATGTTCAGACGTAGCCTACTAATTTTCTCAAAAAAGGTGTGTTTTTCCTGCTCTTTAACTCAAAATATGGGTCAACACTCCCAGATACAAAAACAATGTTTCCTATATTTTTTTAAACAAATAATGTTAGGCTAATTTTTTTTATAATATAATATTATTCAAAATAATCTTGAATTTAAACTGATTTTCCCTTTTATCTATTACATTGTAACCTTGTAAAATTGTAAATCTGACCGAAAATCTAATATTGTTGATAAAATAAGCATATTTGTGGTCAATTTGTGAACACATGCATGTGTGTTAAATGCAGGAGACATTTTGTAATACTTGAGAGAAATAGTTAAAATGACAAAACATCTTTTAACAGTTGTGTGACGGAGTTGGGATATGGCCAACATAAAATATAGGCACAATCACTTTAATAACGTAAAAAAAACCTTTTGAATAAACCAAATTTAAAAATGTAAACAGTTAAATGGGGACAGTTAAAATTTAAATCAATAAAATAATTTGTAAAAAATGGCAGGTACAATTGTATACATGTTTTGTCTCATGTTTCAAGAATGAGTTTTAAAATAAATAAAATATTTTTACTTTATTTACTTTACTTTATTTGATTCAAACTGTCTAATGGAAAAATTACATTCAGGTCATGGGAATATTTCATGTAATTGTCTCTTAAAAATAATATAATGTCCTCTTCACATATATTCATTATCAGAGAATATATATAGGCTATATATATGAAATGGTGTGATGTGTGTGAAAGCTGACAGATTTGCAGGTCACGTCTTTGTTGTGGTCCAGCAGGAGGTGTTCGCTATTCTCCAGAGTCTCAGCATTAATAACATGACTCAGGAGCCAAAGTTACCTTTGTGAGTAGGACGTACATTGTGCGATGTGTGTGATCCAAAGGAGCTTACAGAACCCCTGTGAGCAGCATTCAGGACTCCCACAAAAAACACAGTATGGGTTAAGCTTTAGAGACCTCAGACCCTCAATAAAAAATCACTGATTAGAAAAAAAAAAAACATTAACAAAGTCCTCGACTTATGAAAAAGGAAACTGTCTTCAGGGATAGAAGTCAAACATATTCCTATAGGAGCGCTCTTGCTTCTGCCAGGACCTCAGGATGTTTACTTCCTCTAAATAGCAGGGCAGATGGCAACTTGTGATTTTAATTTTGAGGAATAAAGAGACATTTGATGCACTCACTATTTGTCCTCTTAATGGCCACATGACACGAGGAGAGTCTCGGTTAGTGCATTAAGCTGTATACATAAAGAATGATGTACAAGATCTAATCTAATTACACTGAAATTCCTTTCAAGTTGTTCTCAATGCAAAGGTCAAATACAAAGCATTTAGAGTTGCGGCCTGCAGACTTAAACCTCTATTGTTACCATTAACCTCTTTGCTTTCGCTAGACTACATAGTAATCTGGTCCCTGACTGTCTATTGTCTGTAAAGTGGGGTCATATCTTTCAATTATCAATCGACATATTTCAGCTGGGCGTTCATATCCGATTTTTCCAAACAAAGACATCTGGAATGGGTCCATTCTGTGTAAAAATGTCAAAGCTGATAGAAGGGCACCATTTCAGAGGAGTCTGGCCTACCAGAGCAGGGCATTGATACTCCACTCAGCCGCTGTGCTCTGTTAAAAATAACCCTCTCTCCATCTGACAGGACAGGTCGAGTTGGGGGAATTATCTCCAGCTAAGCCCCCTCTCTGTACTCCTCCACAGATGGATATAGTGAGGGTGCAGATATAGATAAACAGGCAGACAGAAATCAATACCCATCCTCTCACTCCGCCATACAGTCTAAAAGCAAGACAAACACGACACGCCAAAGGGAAACTTTGGTTTGGGGAAAAAGCCGAGATAAACATCTTATAAATATCCATCAGTCAGTGGAGCATCTGCTCTTTTGGCCTCCTCTCCGTGTCGGTGTGCATAGGAAGTGATTTGTACTGTAAAGACACCCATTTGGCAGTCTCACTTCTGTGAATCAGATACGTGAGATATCTATTTTTGACGGGGTAAATATAGGTCCGTCTGAAACATGATCGTGATGGATGCATTCAGTATTGTATCCGTGAAATGTTGTTCAACAACACTGAGGTGTGTCTTGGTTGCTCCCGAGGGGTATCAGGTCCTTTAGTGTCTCTTGTGACGAACAACGATTCTAACAATTGCGAGATTGCGTGGCTTGTAAGACAGGATACACATTGTTTATGGTTTAGAATTGGATTGAGGCAAAAGGAAATAGATTCCGTATCTCCTTTAGGGCTACTGAAGTGACGTTGTATTCATTAACCAGATCAGTGGCACAGTTTGCTCAGATCAGTCTATGGGAAAGAGAAAGAGGCAAAAAGAACCTAATGTAAGACTTTCAGGGGAAAGAGAGCAATTAATGATTGCCCTCTAGTGGACACATTTTTACTACTACACGTTAATGTTCAAAGATACTTGTTTGAGATCAAACAATACTTGGTGGACCCTCTATTAAAGACCCCTTTACTGTAGAAAAATGTTCTAAGTCTGCTTCAGTATCCTGAAGTTTTATTAATACTTAAATACTATTATTTGGAGTGAGAAAAAATAAAGACATTTTGTGCAAAAAACTTGTATACTACACATTTTTGATTATAATTTCTTCAAAAAGCAAATATATTGTACAATTTCCTTACATCGTAAAAATGATATAGTACAGCTAGAGTAATGTGATGTCATTTTTTTTGTTTGTGTTTTTTTTTTTTTTTTTTTTTTACAAAAGTGCACTATACTAATATGTCCTCTGTTTTAATAATTACTTGGTGCAAGTTGTAATGCAGTTCTTGTTTTTAAAAAAGATGGACCATTTCAAAGTCTTTCATGGATCCAAAAAACAGGTACAAAAAAAAAATAAGTGCAACAAACAGTTTAAAGCATGTGCCAACCTCTGTACGTAAGAGTCATGAATTTCAGGAAACACCGCAATTAGGAAGTCCAGAATAACCCACATCCTGACTGTAAAAATCCCTCTCACTCTCACTATACTGAAAATTATTTTGTGGGTTTATTAACTCTGTTTTACTTTCAGTAATAAATGAGTCACTGTGTTGAAATACAGAGGTCTTAGAAGAGTAGTCAACTGGATATGTTTCAGGAGAAACATTTAACAGCACAGTTAAGGCCTCGACTTCCCACAGTGAATGTCATGATAAGATAAACCATGTTCAGTGAAGCCTTAAGACAAAAAGCTTGAAAGGCACATTAAAAGAGTTTAGATTATACTCAGATGGATAGATATGCAATGTGAGTCCAGTAGAATTGAACTTTCTTGGAAATATGTGCAGGAGGTTTATTCTAGAGGTCCAGTTTAAGCTTGTCAATGTCGTAGTCATGGTCCTGGTCCAGTTTGGAGAGGGTCTTTCGCACACGCAGAGCAGTGAGTCGAGCTGAAGGGCTTTGGAACCAGCACTCTTTCTTAATCTTCGCAATTGTAGACAGGATCTTGACAGAAAAACATACAGAAAGCGTAGATAATCATTTGTTTAGTCATTTCTGATGTCTCTCTTAATGTGTAAATATACAGTTGTATGGGTAGACCTATGTTTATGTGAATATAAGTGACTGCGCCTGGAGTTCATTTTCAAAAACAGACACAAAGAAGTGACCAAGATTTCAATGCATTTCAACTTCATTTGCAAATCCAAACTCAACAACTTCTGACACAAAAAAATGAGATTTTGTGAGAATTCTGTTCATGTCATGCTAGCTTTGAAGTAGGTGTCAAACAATCATATTTGTCCTTCAAAACTGTTTAAACTGTGTTTTTTTTCGCATTCTGCTCTGAACAGATACATTGTAGGAGGGAGTGTGTGAATGTGGCAGACATAAAACAGTCTAATATGGCAAAACAGTTTCAGCAAGATATATGGACTCGAAGGGGTAATTATTTTCAAGTGCAACACTTCAAAATAAAGTTTCTTTATTCTCATCCATGGTTCCATTAAGAACCTTTAACATTCAAGGAACCTTTCCATTGCATAAAATGTCCTTTATAGTGGAAAAGCTTCTTTAGATTTAGAAAATGGTTCTTTTAACAACTGTTCACTGAAAGGTTCTTTGTAGAACCCTTTTGGAACCTTTATTTTTAAGAGCGTAGCTACAAATCTAGCGACTAGCCTGCAAGTCTGCTACTCCTCAACACATGTTACCAAGCTGCTGCAGCTGCTTTTTGCATTAAGCAGGATACATGTAAATTTCCATCCATTTTCTTTTGCAAAGCAAACCTAAAATTAAAGCCTATAAGATATTGTCAGTGACATCATAGACTGATAGGATATTTTGTCCCACACGCATGTAATGCTTTCCTAACAATTTGCTCCAGATTGCAGCTGTCAAAGCAAATCCTTGTGTAGGGTCTAAGTCTTCCAAGTCTGTATCTCTGGTATGTTTGAGTATCTTACCGGATGAGAGTGTAGTCGATTGTGGAGACTGGGCCTGTACTGGTCAACACACACCACTTTCTTCATCTCCTCGAAACTGGGGTCAGAGGGTACCACGTCAAAGAACGGTGGTCTGTACTCCTCCACAATCCCTGAGGCAACCACAGATTTAAGGGATTTATATGGGAGTTTTTGTCAACAGTTGCTGACTACATAGCATTTGAATTTTGACTGATAAAAATGCAGA